TAATGCATGGCTAGACAAGCATCTTAAGGAGAAGGATAGAACGTAATCTTCCTCTCATTGCAAAACGTGTACGGAAAACCAACCGGAAACCCTAACTCACTGTTTAATAGATTGCCGGCACTCACAACCCCTTTGGGACAATTGTGCAAAAGCTTGGCATCATCTTTCAGAAGAGGAATTTACGGAGGATCGCTTCTTCATTCTCACAGCAATCGACAGGGATGACATGGGCAAGGATGAAAACAAACAGGTACTAGAACTGCTCAGGAAGACAACTCTCTGGGTCGTTTGGAGAGCCAGATGTGGCAGAACCATAGGGAAAAAGACAATTACAGCAAATGAATAATGGGAAGAGGCAAATGAGCTGATGGCAACTGAAATCAGAGTAGCATGGAAGAGAACCTTAAATAGGATAGATAAACAATTAGAAAATACAAAGAAAATCAAAATCCACAAGGAATTTGAGGAAGACTGGTTGAAAAAAGGACTAATAGCCAAAATCATTGGCAAAACTCTGGACTAATCAAGGCACAGTCAGGGAAGACACAGATGAAGGCAACAGTGCCGCTATGGACCTAGAACATTAGGGAAAGACCATGATAGGCCCCACAGCAAGACACAAACTTATCTAAGGAACAAACAAACTAAAATACTAATACCTAAAACAACGAATAACTTGGAATAAGGGACAGCCATCCACACAAGGGGAGTCTCCAGCATCTTGAGGGATAGAAAATTAAAAGGATTCAGGAACCTAACATCCATATTACTGCAATGGCTTCTCTACCGAACTTTCCTCCTCGCAGTCAGTAAAATTTTCATGCTTCAAACCTAGGTACAAGACTTATAGGGATGACCGCCTGGTCCTCAAGAACTGGTTAATCGTTCATTCCTTAATCACCCCAACCTTGCATCTCAACCAGTGATTTCCCACTCTCTAACACACACAAACCCTGCCCAACCGTCCTCTGCCCACCCTACACATATCCCTAAAAGGCACTGCACACACCCCTTACATCCTCCCACTCTCGGATCTCGACACACAACGACCCTCCACAGGCATCTACATCCATTTCTATAAGTTAGCACAAACCACCAACAGTTCACACACCCCACCCAGCTCGACCCCCCTCATGCCACCTCACTCACAAAAACCTTCACCTCTCTCATCAATGGACAACATCGAGACCGCAGTTAAAAGTCTTACCAGGGTTCAGGGTCAGCAAGTAGCTATATATTCAATCCTAGTCTTGCCAGGGTTTACGGTAATACCGTAATAGCAAGGGTAACACCAAGTACGTAAAGAATGGGGAAGGAAAACCCAACATGGGGTTAAGGCTTTCAGTGAAGTTAGTACCAACCTAGTCGGACAGAGAGGAAGTTTTTGTTAGCAAGAATCAAGGCAAAGGGCCATACCAGCAGTTCTAGCAAGTATAGAAATCCGACAGCCAAGGGGCTGAGAGGAACAGGCTGGCTAGAGCCCAAGGAGGCTAGTTACAAGTACCAAAGAGAATAGACAATCAGACTATTACCCAAGAATAGATGCAAAGTAGTGCAGGCTAACTTAGGGAGGGGTGAAGGGGGGTACATCCTTCCATCAGAAAGTAATCAATGCCGTCCCTCAGGCCTTCATACCACAAAGTGGAGGAGTGTGAGTGAGTTTTATTGTATTCCCTTCTGACTTGCCGGTGGAATAGGAACCGGTCTGACTTTCCCCACAGTGGATAAGGAGCATGCATGTGGCGCATCACGTGTGCGCAAGTTGTGCACGTGCGCCGCAAAGCGCATGCGCACGCACGTGATGTGGCGCATTTACAAAAAAAAAAAAAAAAAAAAAAAAGGTAGGCCATGATAACCAAAAGTGCCCCTCCCTTTGAAAATTGAAAGTCCACAGAAAAAGAATATTTTGGGGCCACTTCGTACTACTCAGTGGATCAATTCTCTTTTCCAGAAGGTCCCCTGCGAAGCATCAGTAGGGTTCCCATACTTTTGGAAGAATGTTCATTGAACTGCTGGCAGACCACGAGCAGGCCAGCAATATACCCTGGATTCGGATTCAGGTCTGTGTTCCAAGAGTTAGTTACGAAAGTACTACAAAGTTACCGGCACTACAGTGGCTGTCTCTTTTTTGTTTGTTTTTACTTTTCTTACGTGCAGTGGCCCTAAGGGCCTTGCTCCACTCGTCACAAAAGAAAAACATGTGGTTTGTATGGTTCCAGTTTGTAGGAGAAGATTCATTCTAGCTTTGTGGAGTGAAGCCCTGAAAATCAAATGGCGAGTTAGTAAGTCATTACCCATAACTGCTGAAACATGGACCTGAAGTCGAAGCTACACCGTATATAGCTGGCCTGCTCCCTCCTTACTACAAGTCCAGTGACTACCGTTCTCCAAAAGTTAGCGAAGTCCACCTATGAAAGAAAATTGTATGCCCTGCACAAAGCTTATAAAAGAAATTGTATGCCCTGCGCAAAGCCTTAACCCCATTGGAAACACTATCTCCATGGCCGATTCTCCGAAGTGAGATCTGACCACGAGACAAGATTCAACCCACTCTCTCTGACACGCTGAAGAGGTGGATTCAAGCCATTGACATGTATGACTTCTGTTTCAACATGTCAAGGGTGAGTTTACTAAGGTTGCTGATGCACTTTCACAGAGGGCAGACTATCTCGCGGCGCTAGGGCCGGGAATAAAAGGTTGTGTGTCCCAAGTAGCGAGTCTCCGTGGTTTATTTTTAGGTGAGTGTCATGGTGCGAGAGTCGTTTTGGATACAAAAAGACGTCAGCTGACTTACTACAGCGCTTCTGGTGACCTACAATGCTAGAGGATGCTAAAAAGTATGTGGAGAAGTGCCAGGTTTGCCAAAGAGACAAACCTGGGGCTCGAGCACTACTTGGGCTTATTAAGCCTTTGCCTATTCCTGCAGGACCGGGAAAGATTCTGTCCATGGATACTCTCATGACGAGCAAGTCTTGCGAAAGGCATATAATTGTGATTGTGGATAGGTTCTCCAAGTCCAGTAGGTTAGTTGCGCTGCTCGAGACCACGAATACGGACCTAGTAATCAAGATGTTTTATGGAACAGTGGGTAAGGGATTTCGGTCTGCCGAAGTCTACAGTGAGCGAGAAAGGTGTTTAGGTTAACTAGTGAGTTGTGGAAGAAGACTGCCGAACAGATAGGTTCCCTGTTACAAATGACTCCTGGAAACCATCCAGAGACTAACAACGGCCAAGCAAAGCAGATGAACTGGATATTACAGCACCTGCTGAGCCACTACATCAAGCCCAGGCCGGGGGACTATGGTGAGAAGTTACCTCTCATTGCCAGCCTGTACAACAACGCAGTGCACAATACTGCAGGAGGGTCACCTAATCAAGTACACTTAGGTTGGAAGCCTAGGACCCCGTTAGAGTTCTCGTACCTGATACAAGACCAACTGCAGCACGAGGAAGCATAGAATTTGGAATAGATTACGTAAAAATGTTGCAGCACGCTGTGGAACAGATTCAGAAAGCTCAGAATGCCATAATGGCATCTGAGAACAAACACATTGAGTCAAGTTTCAGGTTGGGGAAAGGGTATGGGTGAAGTCTTCTGGATTTACGCAGGAACTGCCAGGAAGTGAACATCTCTCGCAAGCTGATGCCGCAGTATTTTGGGTGGTATATCCTAGACATTGTGGGTTCTGGACTTCTGACCCTGATGGCCCATCATAGGTCATCTACGTGCGGCCTCACCTCCGTACTTATCACGTCTTTCACGCCTCCAAAGTCCTTCCTTTTTCAGAAATAGGTGAGTTTCCTTCAAGGAGATCCATGGTGCCCCCAACCATGGATGGATACATGGACATGGATCAGATGATGGAGCACTGACTTATGCCTTGTACCTAAGCCTGCTGGCAGAGGAAGACCCCCGAAACCAGAGATGCAGTTCCAGGTCGCTTTCAGGCATCATACGGATTTGAAAGAAGATGGGTGGTTCATAAGAGAGTAGCTGATCAAGACAGCCCCTCAAATTGTATCTACCTTCGAGAGATTGCTGAAGGGGAAACAGCAGGTGGTGGATTATGGAAATTATCAGAGGACTATCGAACTGGAGAAGAGGGAGTGTGAAGCATAAGGCCCTCGGCCGGGTTAGAAAGGTCACGCACCCGCTGGAAAAAGTGCCCCGCGCCTGCCCTAAGTGAAGGCAGGCCTGAAAATTTGTCGGCCGGGTTAGAAAGGTCACGCACCCGCTGGAAAAAGTGCCCCGCGCCTGCCCTAAGTGAAGGCAGGCCTGAAAATTTGTCAAGGCCAAGTTTGAGGCCGATGTGAGCAACATTACACAGAACAAAGGCAAGTGTGGCTCATTCAAGGCTCATTCACTTGCTACATTCTGGCTGGCTGGATGGAGGCAGCGCTGCTGGAGCGCTGGCTTGCTGGGGAGCACTCTGCCAGGAGGGAAGAAAGGCGCTGTCTGATCGTAGTCTGGGTGCCGAGCGCCCAGTTAAGAGTGCTACGACATTGTTCACATTGGTGTTGGAGACGAGAAGAGGGCTTTGATTATCATTTGACTTCAGTGCTTTGCTCTTGCTTATTTCTTGTTGTCTCGTGGTGCAATCTGCTTTCAGTTTGGGCGCAAAGCTATCTGGATTTCTCTTGTAATGCTACGATTTGCTTTATTGTCATTCGCACTGCACATGTCCTTGCAAGCTCCTCTGCGAAACATCTTTTGGTTTCTTTCAAAATTCTTTGTGAATTGTTCGTCGCAAGTAATATTTGTATATCTGTTTTTCTTGTTTTGAAAAAAAAAATCTGACTATTATAGTCGATATGAATCTGATTCTAGGCAAATGTTCCTCCATGTCTCTCTGCTGGCCTAACCCTCTCTCTCTCTCTCTCTCTCTCTCTCTCTCTCTCTCTCTCTCTTTTTTTCTTGTGCGCGCATGCGCTCACTTTTGTTCTTACTCTCTATGTGTGTGTTTGTTTGTTTGTTTCTGATATTCCTTCTGTGCGAACAGACTGAAGCTGATGTGGTGCGACCCAGAGATGTATCCTCAGTGGGACTTCATTAAATCCGTTCCGAAGAGTACCTTGCATATATTCACGTGCCTTCAACTCTCTTGTCTTGCTGCGCTTTGGACTCTGAAGCATAGCAAATGGGGTATGGAACCAGCCCACATCCTTTGTCACTTGCCTTCGCCCTTTTTTTCTTTTTCTTCTTTTTGGTGAGCATGTTTAGTGGTGCAGGGAAAATGAGCGATGGCGAAATGACAGAATTCCAGATTACAAATCACATTGAAAGCCAGAGAATCGAATGCTGTCCAGAAAGCAGAATTGCACTGATATTACACCGAAGGAGAACCAAAGCATGGAACTCGGTTGTCAATGAAAAGTTGAAAACATATACTCGCCACCACCAACATTGCAATTGAAGCTCTTCCTCGTACTGGCGCTCAGCGCCCAGACTACTATCCTACAGCTACTCGACTAGCAACGAAATGACAAGCAACTTGTTCACGTCAGCAGCAGCAACCGAAGTACATGCAGATGTCGACCATGCAGACCATCGCCAAGAACTGGTACGTGCCCTCATGTGATCATCCTTATCTCTCTCCCACCGCACCATGTCTTGTTCCTCTACCACGAAGACAACCGCCTCCTCCGCTAAGTCCAAGCTCAGCCCGGCTATGGAGGGCTGAGCTATGGCACTGCCACAGTGCAGCACCCTCCTTCCACATTACCACGCGCGCGTGCACAAGCACTTCCGCTAGCACACAGCAAGCAGGCCGCAAGTGCATGCTCGAGCAGCGCTGCTGCTAACACAAGCAAGTGCCCGAATGCTTCCTCGGTAGCCTGGCCCTTTCCTATATGTATGAGCTTATAGCATAGCAACCGAAGTCGCAAGCTTAGCAAATTTGGACGATGAGAACATTTAGATTATGAAGCAGAAAGAAATCAATACCCGAAAAGGAAGGAGCATAAATGTGAGGGAATTTAAGAAGAAAAATCTTGGCGGTGTTGTCTACCTCGTCTGTTGGCTTCATCCCGTTTACGCTTAGCTACAGCATATCTAAGTGTACCATATGAGATCTCAGCGAAGATGTGAAGAACACGCAACTAAAAAATCAAGCAATCAAGAATCCACAAGAGAATTTTTAGCCATTCCATTGTAAGCACAGTAAGAAGAATAATAAAAATCAATGAGAGGGAGAAAGAAAAGACACAGAGAGAGAGAGAGAGAGGGAGGGAGGGAGGGAAAAGGAGAGCGAGAGAAAGAGATATGTGGGTGCTGCAGTACAGGCCAATCTGGGTGGCTAATCAAGATCTCAGCACACCCAGCTGATGATGATGATGCTGGCCATTTTTTTTGGTACTGCTGCACCAGCAGTTTGCCAGCAGTGAAGACCCCCCTGGCTAGGGGGCTGCGCGTCAGGCGCGCTACTTGGTGCCTGCCTCGTGGGACCGAGTTTCCAGTAGCTTCGCCCTCGGCCAAAGTGTCTGCGCCCCGGCCCGTTAAGACAGTGGCCTGGGACCATGCCCAACCACCCCGGATAAAATGTGCGGTGTTCCCTGCTTTCACCACGTTGCCGGAAGAGCCTGGAAGGCTCACGAATGTTTCGGATTCTCACGAGCAAGGTGGATGTAACCAACTGGCGTGTGGTCTGGCGCCCACCAAGATTTTGCAAAAAATGACGAATTCAGGGCTCCTTCGGATTCAGGGGCCCGCCTTCACTTAGGGCGGGCACGCGCCTGCTTCAGGGGCCTTACGCCGGTATGCCGAGGGGTAAAATCCTCGCAGTGGGATTCGGATGTAATTGTGCAAGAGCTTCAGGAAAAAACAAACGAGAATGTGAAGCGATTGGATGCATCGAAAATTCCATCTGTGTATGTTATCTTGCAGAAGAATATAGTTGCAAGTGCACACTGTGTCCACATTGTGCATGTATGATGCACTACTGCACTGCCCATGCGTAGCGCAGTGTGCTCGCGCATAAAAACAAAATGCAAAAGAACAAACCATGGTAACCAGCTCTACATCTGGACCTTAATCCAGACGGTCCGGTTGTCTGGGTTTGGGTCCGGTGTCCAGTCCGGTAGGTCCAGATTGGGCTAAATTTTGAAACATTCAAAAAAAAAAAAATTGGGGGGGCCTAGGACGTTATTCGGGTCCTAGGCCGCTCTCCAAGAATGCCCCCGGTATTTTTCGGCCGTTTCAGGGCCTACTGGATGCCGCCAGACGCCCACCAACAGCTCCCTCTGCTGCTGTACTATGGTGGTAGTTCATCGGGAGATAATGAGTCCGATTCTGAACATGAAGCGCTGGCTGCGAAGTGTCACAGAACATAGAGAGAGAGAGAGAGAGAGAGAGAGAGAGAGAGAGAGAGAGAGAGAGAGGATTTTGGTCAGATTTGAGATCCTGTCTTAGATCTGGTCCTGGGCAGGTCTCAGATTTGTTCTTACGCAGATCTGCATAACTTTTTTTTATATATAATTTAGAGCTAGGGAGATATCCCGGGCACCCGGGTCCCGATGTCATGCCCGGATTGGCGACCAGGTGACCGTCCGGGCATGACCCCCGGGCATGGCCTCGGGCAGCCTCAGCTCAAAAAAAAAAAAAAAAAAAAAAGATCAAATCCAAAAAAATCTGAAAAAAGGTTATGTTGTGTAGAATTGCAATACAAACGACTTTTGGCTGAGGGTCACATCAAAATTCCTCACAGAACTAAAGATGAAAAAGAAAATAATCATATCACACTAAGGCACCCCCCTTTAAACCCCTTTAGCCTCTTTGAAGTTCATTTACACTCCCCTTTCCCCCCCTTGACAGCCAACACTCAAAGAAAGAAAAGAGCCCGCACGGAAAAACCCCACCGCCATTTTTTTTTTTTTTTT